GGTCTGACCCCAGGCGGGTCCCGATGCCATGCACCCTCAGACCCCTGGTAAGTCCTGATGCCAGCACCCTCAGACCCCAGGTGGGTCCTGATGCCAGCACCCTCAGACCCAAGGCGGGTCCCGATGCCAGCACCCTCAGACCCCTGGCGGGTCCCGATGCCAGTACCCTCAGACCCCTGGCAGGTCTCGATGCCAGCACCCTCAGACGCCAGGCGGGATTCCGATGCCGGCACCCTCAGAACCCAGGAGGGTCCCGATGCCGGCACCCTCAGATCCCAGGCAGGTCCTGATGCCGGCACCTAAAGACCCCAGGCGGGCCCTGATGCCGGAAAACTAAGACCCCAGGTGGGTTCCAATGCCGGCACCCTCAGACCCAAGGTGGGACCCGATGCAGGCACCCTCAGACCCCTGGTGGGACAAGATTTCGATACCCAAAGACCCCTGGTGAGTCATGGTGCCGGCACCTAAAGACCACTGATAGGACCCAATGTCGCACCCTCAGACCCCTGGTGGGGCCCGATGCTGGCACCCTCAGACCCCTGTTGGGACCCGATGCCGACACCCTCAGACCCCTGGTGGGTCCAGATGCCGGTACCCTCAGACCCCTGGTAGGCACTGATGCCGGCACCCTCAGGCCCCTGGTGGGCCCCGATGCCAGCACCCTCAGACCCCAGGGGGGTACTCATGCCGGCACCCTCAGAACCCTGGTGGGCCCCGATGCCAGCACCCTCAGACTCAAGGTGGGACCCGATGCCAGCATACTCAGACCCCTTGTGGTACAAATGCAAGCACCCTCAGACCCCAGGTGGGTCCCGATGCTGGCACCCTCAGACCCCAGGTGGGTCCCGATTCTGGCACCCTCAACCCCAGGTGGGTCCCGATTCTGGCACCCTCAACCCCAGGTGGGTCCTCGATGCTGACATCCTCATACACCTGGTGGGTCCCTATGCTGGTACCCTTACCCTCAGATCCCTGGTGGGTACCGATGCCGGCACCCCTGGCACCCTCAGAGCCCAGGTGGGTCTCGATGTTGGCATCCTCATACACCTGGTGGGTCCCTATGCTGGCATCCTTACCCTCAGATCCCAGGTGGGTCCCGATGCCGACACCCTAAAACCCCAGGTGGGCCCCGATGTCGACACCCTCAGACCCAAGGTGGGTCCCGATGCCAGCACCCTCAGACCCCTGGTGGGTACTGATGTCGGCACCCTCACAGCCCTGGCGGGTCCCGATGCCGGCACCCTCAGACCCCTGGTGGGTCACGATGCCGGCACCCTCAGACCCGTGGTGTGTCCTGATTCCGGCACCCGCAGACCCCAGGCAGGTGCCGATGCCGGCACTTTCAGACCCCAGGTGGGTCCTGATGCCGGCACCCTCAGACCATAGGTGGGTCCCGATGCCGTCACCCTCAGACCCCTGGTGGGTCCCGATGCCAGCACCCTCAGACCCCTGGTGGGCCCCGAAGCCGGCACCCGCAGACGCCAGGTGGGTCTTGATGCCGGCACTTTCAGACCCCAGGTGGGTCCCGATGCAAACACCCTCAGACCCCATCAGAATGAGAAAGAGGTTGCTGGCTGCTGGGGGATGTTGCTGCTGAGGGGGGGTCTAATGATGCTGGGGTAGATCTTTTGTTGCTGGAGGTGAGGTTTTGTTCTGGGTGCTCCATTGTTGTTGTGTGGGGGATTTATTGTTGCTGGTGTGGGGATGACTGTTGCTGGGATGAGGTCCATTGTTGCTGGAGGAGTCTATTGTTGCTGGCTGAAGGGGATCTATTTTACTGCTTTTCTTGTTATCATTAACAAATTCCATACAAATTATTTAGCACCATGAAATGATACTTAGTTCTGTATTCTCTAAAAGGGGCAGGACCAAGAGGTGGGTAGGGGGTGGAACCAAGAGATGGTGCTCAGAGAGAGGGTACAGGGCAGAGACAAGGGGGGACTCGGAAAGAGGGGTTTCCTGCATTTATTCTCTGAGAAAAAAGGCTGGCTAGGTGCCTAAGGTCCTAGGTGCCATGATCGTCCCCTCTGTGGCAGCTGGCATCTCTTTGATTTTGGGGAGGGTATGGGGTAAGAGAATAAGTACTGAAGACACTTGCAGTAAGGAGGACATGTTCTAGAAGAGGCACAATGTACAGACTTGAAGAATTCTTATAGGGAACACTAGAGCTGAATGTGATCCTCTTTTTAGCCCCTTTGCTGCCAGGTCCGTAGATCGTACAGGGTTTTATACACAATATACAGGCTACACTGGGATTGTGTGTAAAACTGACAAGCAGACACCTGTCAGGTGGAAGCATACAGGCGGCTGCTGCCTGATTGCTTCCACACCCTGATAATGGCGCCCACCTTCGCTTGCCCATCTGCAGGCCTAGAATTGACATAGCGGGTGCAACCAGATAGAGGGGGACGGAGGAGAGCGGACACATGTCCATTCTCCTACCCTTCTTGTTGATGACCCGGAAAGCATCATGTATGACATCACTTCCGGGTCCCTGTATCACTTTCCCCATCTAGCACAGCCAGGAAGGAATATATTACAATGCAATTTGCATTGCATTACATTCAGTAGGGCACAGAGGAGACATTTAGGGTCTAAAAGACCCTGCATGTCTCATTAAAGAGAACCTGTCAATAAAAAATCATCACATAAGGGTCTTTACTGATGACTAAATTGACTAAACTGATGACCTATAGGGGCTTTTGAAGTGTCGCTTATAGAAAATATAGGGTACTGAAGTTTGTCGCCATTTCACAGGCACACATATTTAAGGTTAGAGGTCTCTAAGGTCTTCACTGTAGCCCGCCTCACCACCTGCCCCCTGGACCCCATCCCCTCACAGCTCCTCCAGTCACCCCCTCCATCATTCGCTCCCTCACCCACATCTTCAATGTCTCCCTCTCCACTGGCACCTTCCCCTCCCCTCTAAAGCACGCACACATCACCCCCATACTCAAAAAACCCTCCCTTGACCCCACTAACCTTAACAACCTTAGACCCATCTCTTTGTTGCCCTTCACTTCCAAGCTCTTTGAGCGCCTGGCCTACAAACGCCTAAGCGCCCACCTCACTGATAACAACCTCCTTGACCCCCTACAGTCTGGCTTCCGTCCCCTGCACTCCACTGAAACCGCCCTACTTAAAATCACCAACGACCTGCTAACCGCCAAAGCCAATGGCCACTATTCTATCCTCCTGCTCCTCGACCTCTCCGCGGCCTTCGACACTGTTGACCACCCTCTCCTCCTTGCCAAACTGCACTCCCTTGGCATCAAGGATGCTGCTCTCTCCTGGTTCTCCTCCTACCTTTCCCAACGCTCCTTCAGCGCAACCTACAACACTGCCACCTCCCCCCCCTCTCTGTTGGGGTCCCCCAAGGCTCTGTCCTCGGGCCCCTCCTCTTCTCCATCTATACCTCCTCCCTTGGCAAACTTATTCACTCCCACAGCTTCAACTACCACCTCTATGCCGATGACACCCAAATTTACCTCTCCACCCCCCACCTCACCCCCTCATTCTCTGCCCGCATCGCCCACCTCCTAAACGACATATCAGACTGGATGTCGCTCTACTTCCTCAAACTTAACCTATCTAAAACCGAGCTCCCAGTCTTCCCCCCACCACGTGCCCCCCCCCCATCTTCTCCATCACTACTAACAACGCCACCATCTCTCCCACCCCACATGCCAAAGTCCTGGGTGTCACCCTGGACTCCCACCTCTCCTTTGTACCCCACATCCAACTGCTATCTAGATCTTGCAGGCTCCACCTCCGCAACATCTCCAAGATACGCACATTCCTCACCCCAGACACCACCAAACAATTCATACACTCCCTCATCATCTCACGCCTGGACTATTGCAATTCCCTTCTCACTGGCCTACCCAAATGAGAGCTATCCCCACTCCAGTCGATCCTAAACTCAGCGGCTAGACTCATCCACCTCACCAACCGCTCCACATCTGCCTTCCCCCTCTGCCAATCCCTTCATTGGCTCCCGATTGCCCAACGCATCAAATTCAAACTGCTAACTCTGACCTACAAAGCCATTCACAATGCCACCCCCCCGAACTACATAACTGATCTGATACCCAAATACTACCCTACCCCATGCCCTCCGCTCCTCACAGGACCTCCTACTCTCTAGCTCCCTGGTCTCCTCCTCCCACTCTCGATTGCAGGACTTCTCCCCCATCCTCTGGAACTCCTTACCCCAATCCATCAGACTATCGCCTACCCTCCTAACCTTCAGGCACACCCTAAAAACTGTCCTCTTCAGGGAAGCCTACCCCAACCTCACCTAACACCCGACCTCACCTAACAACTAACCTCCTCCACTCCATCCCCCCCACAGCCATCTCCTCCTGTGCCACCTTCCCCTCCCTCCTAGATTGTAAGCTCGAAAGAGCAGGGCCCTTGAACCCCTCGTGTATTGTATTGTTACTGTATTGTCTCATGTTCTGTCCCCCCTGCTACTGTACAGCACTGAGCAAACCCATTGGCGCTATATAAATACTGTATAATAATAATAATAATGTTGGTTATCTATTTACTTGGTGCAACCTCATCCTTTATATTTATCAAAATTTGAGTAATTTATTGCATTTGTTTGCCCTACAATCCACAGTTTTTTTTTTACAGCTGACTGAATGAACAAACCTGAACCGATTTTCCCCATCCACAAATTTTAGGTAGACGGAGAAACCCTACCTGCTGTATCTTTGTAATCTGACAGCAGGAGTGGAGGTCACATGTTTCCTATCGAACGTGGAGCTCCAGTCTGCAGCCATTGGTTATTTATTACTGGTGGAGTGGATGTCACATGTTCCCTATCGAACGTGCAGCTCCAGTCTGCAGCCAGTCCCCCTTTTCTGTGGATGACACATTTCTAAAACTACAATTCCCGGAATGCTTTGCGCTGGCCTGCTGGCATCACGCGGGGCGGGCATTTAAATGGGAGTGTCCGTACGCTCCAGTGTACGAGGTGGTGAGAGTGTATGATGGAGTCTGAGAGAAGGCATCGTGCCTTGTACAAGGGGACCACTCCACCATGGAAGGAGACCTACAGAAGGGTAATGTCATGTGGGCTTCATGAGCTGCAGCCGTTGTGTGCGGTTAGGATAAGGCCAATGTATGGTGATAGGGAGCTGCTGTTATATGTGTGATAAGTGGCCTGTGCTGCCATACATGTGTCATTACTGAGCAATGCTCCTTTCATTTCTGCTTCTAGAGGTGTGTTGAAAGATTGAAGAGCAACCGCTCTAAACTTCTGGACAAGTTCCGACAGGTGGGGGAGAGAGTGAATGGAGGCATTGGAGGCTCCTTCCTGGTGCAGGAGGTGATGGAGGAAGAATGGAGAGCCATGCAGGCCAGTGGGGGAAGCTTCCCATCTCTATGGAGGAAAGACAACTTCTCACAGGTAATGGGAGGATAGGAGGGTGTACTGCGGGGTAAACTCCTCTCCCCCCCCCCCCCCCCCTTTTAGGTGCTGTCTGGCACCCCCCCCACCACCCCTCCCCTTTAGTGGCGCTGGCACCCCCCCCCTTTAGGTGCTGTCTGTGGCGCTGGCACCCCCCCCCCCCCCCTTTAGGTGCTGCATTGCTACATTTTATTTACTTGAAGCAGAGATCCACCCAAAAGGAGAAGTTCTGCTTTAAGGCTTTGTCCCCCCACTCCCCAATAAGGAGTGGCACTTTTGGGGAGTGGGTACTCAAGTTTGACAGGTACCTGCTCTCACTTCTGCTTCCGATCGCATTAGGCATTCGCACCAGAAGTTGTCCTCCCCCTTCCCTCCCCGTAGTCTTCTGGGACATGTGACAGGTCCCAGAAGCCTACTGGAGCATTCACAAAGTGCACCCCTGGACCAAGGAGCAGGTTAGTGTCTGTATTTTAAGTCAACAGCTACAGTCTTTGTAGCTGCTGACTGTTTAATTTATATTTTAATTCAACTGGAGCTGTGCTTTAAAGTAGTACTAAAGCTGTTTGTTATTAAAAAAAAGAGTCTATATTTACCTGCTCAGTGCAGTAATTTTGCCACAGTTGATTCAATTCTTTTTGGGTCTCCTGCAGTGCTCCTGGCTCCTCCCCCTCGAGCAGTCTGCCAAGAGAGCCCTTTGCCTGGGGCACTGCTGTGTGCTAGCTCCTGAGCCACTGCTCCACATCCATAAAACACCTAGAGCAATGTCTTGGCCCCACCTCCACTCTCTCCTCACTGGTTGTGATTACCAGCAGTGGGAGCCAATGGGCTTTGCTTATGTCTCCTCCAATGAGGAGGGAGAGTCCCCATACTGTGTGTGTTCGTTCACTTCTGTGTTTTTTTTTATATTACAATTAAAAAAAAAAAGTTCCTATAAACTGCTTCCTGTCCGCCCTATAGCAGAAATACTGCTAAAGGGTGGCATGGTTGCGCAAAATCGCGTGTTTGTATTTTTTAGTAGGGGTTGCGCGCAAGCCCTACATGTCCCAGCCGGTGATTATTCACAGGCGCCTGGTGATTTCCAGCGGAGAGGAGAACTGTTTTGTTTACTAACAATTCTTCTCCCTGTCCGCTCAGGCACACTGTGTGATTAGTGAGGCACAATGACACAGCCCCATAGTAAAACACTTCCAGCACACAGTTAACCCTTTGATTGCCCCTCATGTTAACCCCTTCCTGCCCAGTGCTTTTAGTACAGTCTCTGCTCCTTCCTTTTTTTTTTTTTTTTCCCCTTCTATAACACTTAAGGGAAGCTTAGCAAGCCGCAGCAGAAAGTGGCTGTGGTCAAACTTTACAATTGAAGGGGCTGAGAGAGCTCCATGATGGAGACCAAGTTTCTCACTGAAATACTCTGGAAGAAATGCTCAAAGCACACACAAGTAAGTGTAATGAATGTACTTGGACAATATTTGTTTAGCCTAGAGTTCAGCTTTAAAGGCCTGCTGGGAGGTGGTGTGAAGGGGTTAAGTAGTAACCGTTATCACATGCCCCTAGCAGACATGTAAAAAGTTGAAAATTGTGCTGTGCCATAGGGGCTATACAGGTGAGGGAGCTGAAGTGGTGTAACACTTTTAATGTATTTTTAGGCACTGGGCATTTTACAGGATCCGGATGAATTGGTAACATTGGAAGAAATCAGACAGGAACTTCTCTTAGAAGGTACAGTTGCTGTAAGTCTGCCGTTTAATGTGTGAATATAGCAGAGATTGAAGGTTAATGCAGCATTTTGCCTGTCCTTCCAGAGCAGGCAATGGTTGCAGAAATTGAAAGCATTCTTCAGTTTGAGGATGACTGTCTGGATTCAGTTGTCGGGATGAGTGCTGAAAATCTAATTGTGTGCCCTGTATGTAATAGGTATGTATTTCTCGACTGGCGTTCTGTTTTGTCATCACATCTTCAATGTTAACTGAAATTTGTACTGATGTCTTTCAGGAATTACCTAACCGTAACAAGTTGCTTTGTCCTATGCCAGTGCGGTGTGTACATCAATTGTAAGGTAATGGTTATGTTACTGTGGAGTCATCCTTCACTGGAAGGCTTTTTGTGACCGTATGAGAGTTTGTAATGTCTATGCCCTACGTAGTTTATTAGCTGTGGGAGCTACATGTAATAAAATCAAAATAAGACAGTACACAAACTGAAAACTATGTAGGTTAAGGCTGCTCTATCTCCCATTTCTGGGAGTAACAAATACACAGGTGAAAGTTAAAGGGGAGTGCGTAGAGAATAGAAATGGCATGTGCAGGGAAGGGAGGGAAAAGGCTGTCCAGCCTAGATGGCTACCTTCTTTATATTAAGCTCCTTGAAGGCTCTGGTGCGACTGTACAATACAGTGGGTATAAAGTCTACACACCCCTATTTTAAAATGTCAGGTTTCTGTGATTTTAAAAAAATGACAAAAATAAAAAATGTAATTTTTTCCACCATTTTAACCATTAGCCGCCCGGCCAATGGCCGTTTGGCGGCTTGAAATGCGCTCTTAAATTCCGGGTGCACGCCATTTGGCATGCTCCCGCACATGCGCAGTTTGCGGCAGAGCGGCGCAGCAGCGGGATCTGTCACGGGCCGTGCACCTCGGACACGGCCGATGACAGATCCGAGTACCGGCTCCCGTTGCTGGTACCATGTGACCTGCTGTGACCAATCACAGCAGGTCACATGATAGTTGTATACAATGGATGGCTTCATTCATGATGCCATCCATTGTATACTAGTGCCTAGCTGTGAATGGTCACAGCAGGTCACATGCACATGTCATGTGATTAGCTGTGACCAAATCACAGCTAAGCACAAAAAAAAAAAAGCTGAATGAATCGATTTCATTCAGCTAAATGCTTGCTTATAGCAAAGTAATTCTTTGCTATAAGCAAACTGTGTATAAAAAAAAAAAAAAAAAAAATACTGATCACTCCCCCAAAGTAGTACAATGTTACTATGGTAACATTGTACTACTTTGGTCATAGTAAAATATGAAAAAAAATCTTTAAAAAAATGTAATAAAAAATTAAATATAATAAAAAAAATATATATATATTTTTTTTTTTTCATACTGTCACCAGTCAGTGTCCATGTTCACCGCCATGCCAGTTATATGAAGACGCTGTACTGCACTGGTGACAGTATGTAAAAAAAAAAATAGTGAAAATAATTTTTTTAATTTTCCGAAAAATTATGACAAAAAAATACAACTTCAAAAAACTGGCCATGCCTCTTATGAAGTACGTCGGACTGTCTACTCTGCAAAAAGGGGTCATTTGGGGATATCTGTACTATTCTGACATTCTTGGACCTCAAGAAATTAGATTGGCTGTCAGTACTTCAGGATTGATCAATATTCAGATCTATACCATAGTTTGTGAACTCTATAACTTTCCTACAAACTAAAAAATACATCCTAATTTGGGTTATTTTCACCAAAGACATGTAGCAGAATACGTCTCGGCCTAAATTTATGAAGAACAATTATTTATTTGTAAACTTTTATAACAGAAACAAAGAAAAAATGTGTTTTTTTTTTTCCAAAATTTTTTGGTCTTTTTTTGTTAATTTAGCAAAAAATAAAAACCCCAGCGGTGATTAAATACCACCAAAAGAAAGCTCTAGTTGTGTGAAAAAAATGATAAAATTTTAGTTTGGGTACAGTGTTGTATGACCGCGCAATTGTCATTCAAAGTGTGAGAGCGCTGAAACCTGAAAAATGGCCTGGGCAGGAAGGTGTAAAATCACACGGTATTGAAACGGTTAATGTAGCCTATAAGCTGAACAACAAACTGACATCTTTTAGGTGGCGGGAAGTAAAAATAAAATATGGGTGCATAAGTGTGCACAACCTTAAACTAATACTTAGTTGAAGCACCTTTTGCTTTTGTTACAGCACTGTCATTTTTGGGTATGAGTCTATCAACATGGTACATCTTGACTTGGCAATATTTGCCCACTCTTCCTTTCAAAAACACTCCAAATCTGTCAGATTTCAAGGGCATCTTCTGTGCACAGCCTTCTTCAGATCATGCCACAGATTTTCAGATTCAGGTCTGGGCTCTGGCTGGGCCATTCCAAAACTTTAATCTTCTGGTGAAGCCATTCTTTTGATTTGGATGCATGCTTTGGGTTGTTGTCATGATTAAAGACCATGGCTTTTGCTGTAGGATGCAACTAAGAAAATGTCAGGAAAGAGCTACTAGAACAGCTGAACTTAATTTGGGGCTAATCGGAGGCACTTTAAATGATGGCAGGTGTATACTGGTTCTTATTTAATATAATTTTGAATGTGATTTCTTAATGCTGAACACAGCTACATCCCCAGTTATAAGAGGGTGTACACACTTATGCAACCACATTATTTCAGTTTGATTTTCAATTGAGTTGTACAGTTTATAGGTCACATTAAAGGTGGAAAGTTCTGAAATGATTTTTGTCTTTTCTTTATGTCACGGAAACCTGACATTTTAAAGGGTGTGTAAAGCTTTTTATAGTCACTGTATATGTAAGGCCCTGCATAAAATGTTTCTACATAAATACCTTAACCGCCTCCTGTCCACCATATAAGGTAATGACGGGTGCAAGGCGGTTCTCTCGTCCTGGGCGGACGTCATGTCGTCCTCCCACTCTAACCATGCGTGCGCAACTCCGGGAGCATGCAGTGTGACAATCCATGGTGCGCTGTGTTCCCAAGACCCCCCCACCCAATTGCTGGTTATGTATTATCAGAATCCTTACAAATACTAAATACTAGAATTTAAACTGTTGCAGGCCTTTTTTAACTTTTTTTTTTTTTTTTTTTTTTTTTTTTTTTTTTTTTTTTTCCTGCAGTCTCAAGGCATGAACAGTGAAAAGTTGCAATCATTACTTGAGCTAAATCTGTCTGCACATGCAAACAGCTGTTCTGAACATCCAGTGTTTTCAGTTGTCATAGATGCTGAAGGAGTATCCAGTTTATTTATGAGTTGCACTGTAAGTAAACCTTTTCTGCTGTGGGACGTCAGCGCTCTGGCATGTGTCGAGGAGAGTTAATCTGCATTCACACCTGAGCAAAGTGATTTTTTTCAGGTGTATTTGTTTGGGTGCTTTCTGCATGCACATACAGATGTTTTTTACATGTGTTTTCAAGCTTCTGGCATTATTTTAGCTAGTGGAAAACACTTGGAGACTACTTCTTATAGGTTTAAACTCCTGACTTGATTTGCACTTTTTCAATCCAATTCAAGTCTATAGGGTCAAAAATGACCAATTCCACCTTAAAAGTAGCTTGCATAGCTTTTGGGAGTCTCAAGTGTTGCACTACAGGTGCCCTAAAGCACTAATATGTGAACTGCCACTATTGAAATACATAGGATTTTGGATACTGATGGTTTTGGAGCTCTGAGCTACAAAATATTCAGGTGTATGGAGTCTTAACCAGTACTCTGCCCACTACAAACAGTGTAGCAAAAGTGCAAATCTAGTACAGAAGGACAGAACTATCACTGTAATTTTTTTAAAACTTCTATACCAGTCCCCTTTTTTTTTTTTTTTTTTTTTTTTTTTTTTTTTTTTTTTTTTTTTTTTTCCCCTCTGTGTTTGACAGGATCACTGTGTAGAATAGCAAATCTGGCTTTGGTCATGCAGTAAATGACTGCATGTCTGTATGTTTGACTCTTTCCTCTGTATTTTTTAGGTGTGTGATGGAATGGCAGTCATAATCTAGACCGAAATGTGGCTTTCACTGAAGATATAACGTCAAAGTCTATTTATTATTTTTATATATATGTACAGTTTACCTTTTTGTAACTTAATGTATATAACTTTTAAAGACTAAATAAAGTAAAATTTCTTAACTTTTTTTTTAGGCTGTCTTGCTATTAAAGGGGAATCAAGTGTGTTAATGCAAATCTCAACCCATAAACATAAATCCCTCCTGCCACCATCCAAGTGTCAAACAAGCATTCCCTCTGACCTTGCTCTGTGTCCCCTCCACCAAGTAAGAAGCAGGCAATACAAGAAGTATACAATTCCACTCCTTCCTACTTTGGGGTTGGTAATGATGTGCTCCGCCTAATCTGCCTCTATCCTGCTAGCTGACTTCTGGAGTCTAACTGATGGCAGAAATTGACTCCTCGAGGACTGTCAATCAGTGTGAGGTCCCAAAGTTGTGCTGTGGATTGGGTGCCTGCCCTTGACTGCTGCTATAACTGATTTCCTCTCCTGCACCCTGAGTTCCAGGTTGCCAGGAAGACCCTGACCACCCTTCCCCACCCTGCCTGTGTGCCCTGTGGTGAGGACTTCTGACCCTGCTACAACAGCCTCCTTCTAAGGTACCTCAATACAGTCAAAAGCAGTAGGGACAGGATGAAACAAGAGCCCCCATAATCTCCACTGACCAAGCTTCTTCTTTTTTTTTTTTTTTCTCCCCCCCCCCCCCCCCCCCCCTTCCCCACTCCAAGGCCCATTAACCTCCCTGGCGGTATGATTAGTTCAGATTTTTGGTGCTGAAAGCGGTACCGTTATTTTGCATGGAAATATGTAGTTCTTTTTTATTGTAGGCTGTAATATTTAGGAATAACTCACTGAAATCTGTCCAAACAAGAGTCTATTAAACATCCCGGGTAGGATAAAATTTGAAACACAAAATCATAAATTATAATTTAATAAATAATCATAAAAAATAATATAATACATTTAATTCAATAATATAATCAAACCAAAAACACTGAAATTTGAAATATAGCGCCATAATAAGTTCGCACATTGCTGAGCAAAGTCGCAAAATCGGTTTCAGTGTCTGACGAATTTCCCCACAAATCATTATCACTCAATTCTGCAAGTGGTTCTGATTTACTATCGCTGTTCTCTAGCTGATCTAAACTGCTTTTGACCTAAAGGGACACTTTTTGGACGCCATGGACGTTTCTCAGTTTCCAGGCAGAAAGAACAGACAAAATGCAGGCAGGGCACAGGACAAAGCACTCGGGACAAAATGTATGTGAAATTGGTTGAGACAGCAATGTTTTACTATGTAAAATGTGAAAAAAAATGACATTATTTAAAATTTTTAAATTCCCGCCGGCGGCGCCCGTACGTCCCAGGGACAGGACACAGAAGCCGGATGCCGGTATCAGCCGAAGGAGATGGCCGGGGATGCTGCAGGGGACCCATCGTGGGAGCGCAGGGTAAGGTAAGTGAAGAACAAATGACAGAGCAGTGCTGCATGGTATTCCCGAGTGTAGCTCGGGGTTACCGCTCTTGGTACTGAAATGTTACCCCGAGCTACACTCGGGAATACCGCCAAGGAGGTTAAGGTGTAATGCTTTGGAAGAATCAGCTAATAGTTCCTCCGTAGTTTCACTGCCCCTGTTCTGGGAGGCTTCTGCCACCAAGCATAACAGCCTGAAAGAAAAACATTTTGTGTGGAGGAAACACTAAAACTGAGGGTCTGAGTCTTGACTCGGTATTTATCTTACTGTGGTTCATACCTTGTGATGGCAATTAAGTTGATCCGAAATATGAATACAGATGCACACTTATGTAAACACTGATCGCAGCCCCACATGAGGTATCAATGCAAACATTCAAATGGATAAAGTGCTAGGTGAGCTTTTATACGATGTATATAAGCACTATGAAAACCCTCACAGCTATAAAAGGCAATCAAAATTTTAAAAATAGTATGAAACTATAAAACCTGTGAAGGATAATCAAAATTGAAAAAAAAAAAAATCTAATAAAACTATGTGAATACACTAATCGTGTGCATAGAAAAGAGTGATATATGGTCAAATTAACCTGGAATTTCATGCATCATTCATATGCCCTATGAAAACCCTCATGCATCTAAAAAGTAATCAAGGTTGAAGGTAAGTTAAATATTGCTGTGTAAATTATATTTGCCACAAATACATATAAAAGGCTTATGAAAAAGTGTCAAAACAATAGCTAAATGTCCATATATACTGCATTAAGTAGTGGTTGGGTATAAATAATTTGCAAAAAATAAGGAGATATATATATATATATATAGTGTCGCTTTACAGTTGAGAAGGATCAGCTAAAGAACTTGTCAGTGGCTGCTTTTTTTACAATTAAAGGAGAGCTACAGTCACAGCTTACCCATTTCTTTCCACAACTTGCAGAGTTGCTCTGCTATTTACATTCACTTTCTAAGGACTATATATTCCTGCCAACAAGCAGCGATTCCTGCGATGACTGAAATTCCTATTAGCAACACTAGTGCAGAAGGCAGGTTGTGTGAAATGTGACACAGCAGGGCATAGTGAAAACATCACAGAATTCATGGAAGTAAAATCTGTGGGGCTCTCCACAAAGTGAGTTTACAAACTGCAGGATTGTTCAGATTAACAGGAGTAAACTGGAAGTAATTGAAATCCAATCTGGAAATGAATACGACTTTATGATCATATACACTTGAGCCAAATAGCCCACTGCTCTGCTGAAATTATTTATTTTTCCACCTCTGTAAGTTCCCTTGGGCTAGTGCATTTTGATTCTTTGCCAGAGGCACAAGGTGAACAGAAATATTTCAGGTCTCCACTAGTAAAGCGAAGAATGATGTCACCACCTCCCTTTTCATCCAATCAGAGAATGCTTTACCTATTATTGAGAAAATGCCAAGTATTCTCTGGTGCCTGTGCTGTATTGCCAACTTCCTGTGCTCATAATGCAGCAGGGCCAGCCCTCAACAAGGGGCCTGGAAGCTAGTGGAGATCAATGCCCTAGCAATGTCTGCTACTGTGATATCCAACTTCTAGAGCAGGGGTATTGAATTAAAATTCACGGAGGTCCAGTCGCTAACATTTTCTTCCGGCTGAGTTCCGAATTGCATGTTTGATTCTTAATGGTACCTTGAAACATCAGCAAATTCCACGTGTGCAGCGCAATTAAAAAAAAAAAAAAAAAAAAAAAAAAGGGTCAGGACAGCTCCAGATGGACGTCGGGTGGCACATCAGTATACTGCTGACATCAGAGGCAGGACAGCTCCAGATGGATGTCAGGAGGCACATCAGTATACTGCTGACATCAGAGGCAGGACAGCTCCAGATGGACAGTGGGAGCTGCACAACCTTTCCTGGTAACCAGCAGGTGATTGGTTGCAAGCAACCAATCATCTGCTGTTTAAACTGAAATGATAACATGACAGTTACCGCCCTCCATCCGGAGTCTCCAATGTCCGTTCTAGACTGATGTGCCTCTCGCTGCCCATCTGGAGCTGTCTTGCCTCCGATGTCAGCTGGATGAGGATGACAGAAGCGATGGCAGCTGAACAGAAGAGCCGGCTCTTAAATGGCAGGGCTGTGGCCGGTCTGGATGGGACAGTAACCTGGTCTGAATCCGGACCGCGGTCCAGCATTTAGTGATGTCTGTTCTACAGGGATCCCACAGGTATAGTATATACTAATATACATTGGTTCAAGCTGAATCTATGTAAAACATATTAATATCTGGAATTCTTTTTTAAGATAGCATGTCTATTTTGTGTCTGACATAAAAGAATTAGGGATAGTTCATACCATGTTTGTTGAGCTGTGTTGATCAAGGCAAGGACACAGAAAACAATTGTTCTCTCAAGGCATTGCAATGAGCTGTTGTGCACACACTTTTATGAACTTTTTTTAAAACAAAGTTAAAAAACAAAAAAAAATACACACTACTATGCATTAATACAACACATTGCACTGCCCCTACAAACTGCACATGCAGTATATGGCCATAATTCATGCCTGCTGCTGTGAACAGGCACCTTATGCCAGGCCAAAAAAAGCCATCAAGGACAGTTCCAATATGTCATGCGAAGTGTACTTTAAAACTTTCAAGTACAGGGGTAAATCAAAAACTTTGGAACCAGACCCAATTGTGAATTTCTATGGGCTGGTTCACACAACATTTTAATCACTTTGCTTACCAAAATAATCTACAGAAAAGAGAAAATATTTCTTATTCTACATATCTGTACATAATAAAACAAATAAAAGCAAGCTTGTAAAATTGTGAAAAAGTCAACCCACTTCCTCATTCTGTTG